TAGATAATTTATAATACATGCATGTTTTACTATTGATTATACAATTAAATGAAATAATACATCAATTACTAAGTGAGAAATTAATCAGTTTTGAAGTTATAAATAAAAAACATTCTATATATAAATACTACAAATATGTCATGAAAATTGAAGAAAATATAATTAACCTTTTGATACCTGAACATTGTTAAAAAGAAAAAGATTTCTTTTAAAATACATTAAAATTAAGTTGCCTACAATTTTTTTATTAAATTTCAGTAATATTTTCAATGAAAAATGTGTTTGGTAAAGTCAGGCAATTTTAAGCTTAATTTATGGTTAAGCTTATTTTATGGTTTACTGCTATACAATTTTCTTTTCATTACAACATAAAAAATAACCTATGACTTGGTGTTCCAATTGCAAAATAAATCATTTTTGTATACAATAAAAGATTACCAAAATTTGTATTTTAAGCATCAGAAAGCTCTTCTCAAATGATGTTAATTAAACTTTACCTTTTAGTTTTCTAATCACAAAAGATATTTTTTTCTTTAAAACAAAAAGTAGATCTTTATATAAATAAAACGTGATGAGAAAAGTGCAAAAGTCTGTGGATTGCATCAATAAAATTCCGTAACAAACCGAATAACCGGCGAATGTGCTCAGGGATCGATCCACGTGAGATTAGATTTGCTTAGGAAGAGAGAGAGAGAAGCAACTTTATAATTCCACCCTATATTAGATTATATAAGAAAAGTTTCGTTAATTGGGTAGAAGGAGAGATCTTGCGTGTGCCCTGCATGGGGATGAAGGTATTTCTCGTCTCTCGGCGATAAGACGGTTTTCATTGTAATCACCGAAGATTAAGGAAAATTAAAACAAGATTCCGAAAAACGTATCCACGAATGAAACACCCTGTTTTGCAGCAAAACTCAATTTGAATAATCCGCGGGACGAGAGCGGATGGATTTTGTATGGTATGCATCCCAATTTGCATATGATACCAGCAACACGCATATCTAATACCTCGTCCTAATTGATCGATGCATTCGTAAAGCCAGGATACGCTCAGGATGTATTTATTTAATTTATAGATTTTCGATATTTGGATAATTGAGGACGACATCCCTCGAAATTGGAAGACGTGTTCCTGTTGTACACACATACTGTGGATAACAGAAAAAAAGAAACAAATAACAGAAATCCCGAATGTTTGATGTGGAGGAAAACTTATAATCGAGTTACAGGCCGTATCGGTTTGTTTGATACACTTTAAAATTTATATTTCCAGTCGTCCCGAAAGTGCCCTTGCAATACATTTAACCACCCTCGAAAAAATCAATGCGCAAAAAAAAAACTAGAAGCATAGAGAAACCAAGCGGAAAATAAAAAAGAGAGTAGAATAAACAGCAGACCGAAGGGAAACACAATCAAACTTCTATTTATCCCCCTCAACGATGGAGACGAAAAAACATTTGTGAATAATTGAAGTTGATAACGTGTGTATGTGAGTTTGATTATCGTACGTGTACGTGTTCTGCTCTGGATACAGGATTTACGGATCATGTGATAAATATTTAATGAGATAAAGTCGTTTGAATGTCACACGAAAGGATAAACTTAATCAGATCGCATCTTCATGCACTGTCCACGGAATTATCTTGGTATTCATTTGCGATGCAGCCAATGTTAGTACAATTTCATGAAGCATGATGGGACAGGTCCGAATCGATATGTGCCAAATGATTTACGCTATTTCACCTCCAATACAGAATGCATAACGTACGTATCTATCTATCTACACGCTCGGCCATGTAACAAAAATTATGTTCGTTTTATGAAAAACGTCTATTTAACACGTTGGCATTGATTAATGTCTCGTTTCGCAGATAAATTCATTTATTTCATTCCATTATTTTTTTTTTGTTTCCTTTATATTCGACATATTTCCAGCGTTTCCTGGCATACTTTTATCAGTAGAGTTTATGGAATGCGTATTATATTGAATACATAGTTGATATTACAAGAATATAAAAACCGATATATCAACCAACTATTGATATGTCGGTTTTTATATGATAAAAACATCAAGTCCAGAAAACTAAATTGACAAAGTATTGAAAATACAGAAAATGCTTTTAAATTTTATTTAAGAATAAAAATTGAGAAATATATTTTTTTTTTAAATATTTTAAATATTAATCAAAATATTTATAGAATAATGAAAAAAAATGTTGACAAATGTATGTAATTTAATGTGCACATGTCATTCAGATTGTTTAAGAATTATTAATAAAAAAAAACTTCATCAATTAACTTGCGATTTTATTGGTTTTACCAAACTAATCGTGGATTTTAACTCTATAAGGCAAGAGTCGGTGAATCAGGGTAAATTACCCCCAATTGGAGTAAAAATGTAATTTGGGTAATGAGAAAGTTTATCAATTAAAATTTTGTAAATTTTTGGATGTCAAAAAGTTTTTGCCTTTTGGAATAACCACCAGGGAGAACCCTTTCAAATCAGCTTTTGGATAAAATTTGTGTAATATTTTTTATTAAAATTTAGTTTGTTTATTTTTGTACACAAAAAAATCAAAAGTTAAATAATTCTTACTTTAAATATAATATTTGGTAATTATATTAAGAAAACTGTACTCTCTTTGGTTCTTGGATTCAATTAATTCTAAGTTAAACTTTTTATTTACACAGACAACAATTTAAATCTTATGTAAGTCACAACGTAATATTTGAATTTATTCTAACTAATAACGTAAGAAGTAGATCTATTTATATTTGAATAAGAAATATGTTTTAAAGATATCTGGAATAACAAGAATAGAATCGAATAACTATAGATTGAGACGGAAAGATGAAGAAATTAAGATCAAAGAAAGCGTATGTATAATACGAAACACATGTTAATACATAAAAGAAACTGAATGTGTTACCTATAACATTATGTTCAATAGATTTCCATAAAAACTAGTTTAAAAAATGTTGCTAAAATATATAATTAACACAATTTATCAATTGTATTTTTTGGTAAAAAAATCACTTGAAAAAATATTTATATAAATGAAATAAATGAAATTTTAACTATGAAAAGTCTCTGATCAGCTTTATATAATTATATTTCTGTAGTAATTAATAGTAATAATATTTATTGCAACAAAAAATTACAAATTTAACCGCTGCATATTTTCACTCTAAAAATTACTTAAATCAATTAAGTGATAAATTTAATGAAGTGGCAATTAAAATGTCTGTAAAATAAAATAAGTATATTTATTAAAACTAGAGAATGTTAGATGCGACCCACTTTCTGATAGGAATTTGATAATAATAATAATGTATTTATGACATTTAGAAAACTCTGAATTAGCCGAACTTGAAGCACGTTAAATCTTGTAGCGTGTCGGAGGAATGGAGGTTCCATAATTAAATTTTATCAAAGCCGAAAGCTCGCCTTAAAATGTTATAGTCTAAGCGGGATTAATTAATTAAAACTTATCGCGCATCGTATTAATAATATAACTATTGTTTAATTATTGTTTCGAAAATTAGTGGCGTATCGGTGAAGAAGCGAAGGAGGTGCTCTTATTAAAACGATATTTAGGTTTCGCATCGGATTGGATGGAACGGAATTGGTAAAAGCTTGTATCTTTGTGCATGTGTGTGCTTTGAAAATAAGTGCAGTCCTCTTGTGTGACCGGAAAAGGTAAAGGGTACGGCCCTCATCGTTCTGGCTAAATAGAGCTGTGCTTGGAATGGACGAAAACCAACCAAGGTGGTCCAAGGTTTCTGTCTATGTATGAGTATGTGTGTGTGCGTGTTTGTACACGGCCGAGATCTAATTAATTAAGGTCAATTAGGAATTCCCAGTTGGAAACTTCAAATAATTTATGTTAATCAATAATACAAACGTTTGCCTAGAAAATCGCCAATAAATTAACATTAAACACACACATGCGGTAACAAAATACACACAGTTTAACGCACCTTTAAAAGTATATTTAGTATATTTATTATATTATAGTTACTTGAATATTTAAAAAAATAATTTAAAATAGACTTTATTAATGGTTGAAATAAACCAAGAAATGATTAAGTGAATTAAAATAATAATTATTATTATAACAATCACAGATAAACATATATAAATTTAAGTGTATTTATTATGGCTATTGATCATAAGTTTTCTAGCACTTGTACAATGTAATAAATTAATTAATTAAAAAGTTAATATCTTATTAAAAATGCACAATTAGATTTAACAACTGTTTAAAATGTAAGTGTATATATTCTTATATTATTGTGTAATAAATTGTGTTATGTGATACCTTGATTAACGAATAAGATGCATTCCAAGAAATTACTTCGTTAAGCGAAGCGAATTACTTTGTTTTTAGAGGTAAAAATACTATAGCCATAATGAGGATACGTTCTTCCCTAAAGAAACTAAAAGTCATAAAATTCAAGTTATTCTTCTTTATTCAGGATCATTTTCACTAAATGAAAAATACGTATACAATGTCATTTAAGCACCTTTGCCGTTCCTAACATTTTTTTTAATTTTCCACTAACCATGATATTTTGCATTTAATTAATATCTACCATCATCTTTATAGATTAATTATATATTAATTTATAATTATTTGGATTTTATTTCCTACTTATAGTACAACTTCTTACCAAAAACTGTCTAAATGTTTTCAATGGCGTTTCTCCAAAAAGGTTTAATGTCATTTCTCCTTTATTATATTAAAAATTGAATTTCTTTATATCGAATTCTTTAAAATTTTAAAAAAATATACAATATTTCGTATCGTTATTTAAAGATAATAATGACGTCATATAAACAGGATGGAGTGATCACCACATTTGTAAACAAGAAACTGTTATCAAATTATGTATGTTAACGAGAAAAGATTTCTTAATACATTTTATCAAAATCTTCACTGGATATTTAAAATCTCTCTCTATATATAAGAGCACTACGTCTGATAATTCAACGCAATTAAAAATTTTGAGCGAAAAGATGAGGATCATTTTTGTGGTTATAGTTTTAGCTGTAACTCTGATTTCGGCGGAGGTAAGTGTTTTGTAATATGTTAATTTTGGTACCTTTTTGATATATTTTCAATTTAGTTTCCGGCCTGGACCGAGTTGAATCTGAAGATGGCCAACTACTCCCAGAGATGCAAAGAATTGAGCCAAGTCGATCCGGATTTGATCACGAAAGCCCACAATAATGAATTTGTCGAGGATCCGAAATACATGCAGTTCTCCTTCTGCATGACCAAGAGTTTGAACGTATTCGATGCCGAAGGGAATTACAAGGAGAAGAATTTGCTTACCAATCTGATGGATAATGCTTACTCGGTCCTGAAGAAGTGCAAAGCTGAGGGCGAAAAAGAGACGGGAAATGGCAAGAGATCTTTCATCTATTTGAGATGTTTGTACCATGGTGTTCTTAACGACGTCAATTTTACGATGAATGCTTTGGAATAATGTACGTGCTGTAATTATGCGATGATAAAATGTACTTTCCTTAATAAATAAATATTTTCTCCTATTTACTATTGTTTAATTAATTACAGCCAAACACCTATATCTACAAATAGAATACAATACAGGTTTTTTCCACAAATCTTTAGCTTTCGTTTCCATGTTTAATCAACTTTCTACGATTTATACTTTTTGAGTAATTTATGAAAATGTGACACTGCTTTTTCGAAGTTTAATTTTTCGTTTTTTATATTTTTGACTGCTACTTACAGTCTAGAGCAGAGGTTCCCAAACTTTTTTTGTGTCGTAGACCTCTTGCCATGTTTTTCGGTTTTGGGTAGACCCCTACTTACTTGATATTGATTTATTGTAAATTTATTATTTATATTGGAACATCTTTATAATTATTAACATCTTTACTCTGAGTCTGTGCATATGCTTGTAACAAGATGATACTGGTATATTATTATGTGCAGGTTTTTACAAGTTCAAAATGTATTGCGACCACAAAGCGAATGCCTACATCCGACAACTTACACAGTTTTATAAACATATATAATTTTTTTTTACTTCTTAGGTACTTTTATAAATAATATATATGTCTTTATATTATAAGATAGTATAATGTAAGTAAATAGGTACTATCACTGTATGTTGAGATCCACTATCGTAGACCCCATTTTTTTTTTCGTTGACGTAGACCCCTTGCAGGTTGTCATAGACCCCTGGGGGTCGATATAGACCACTTTGGGAATCACTGGTCTAGAAAAATGACACAATACACTTTTGCTTCACAAGTATTAAGCTTTAATTTCCATTGTCAATCACCATTCTACGATTTACTTTTTGAGTAATTTACAAAAATGTAATTTTTCGTTCTTTCTTTTAGAGTTACAAATATACAACCTTTGAATCATATATTCAGCTTTCATTTCTATATTCAATCATATTTCTACCATTTATACTTTTTGAGTAATTTTGTATATTATATTTAGTTTTCAATTTATGTATCACATGTATTATGCATTTTGTTATATTTTCGCACTTTGATTTATCTAGAAGCATATTTATAATAAACACGCTCCAATTTATCTAGAATATTTCACAATTGCAAACGAATGTAGTACTAGCGTTATCAACATTCTCGATATAAAAGCAAACAGATCCTGCACATCTTCAATTAAAAATATCAAGTCTAAACATGAGGAGTGTTCTTTTAGTTTTCGTTTTAGCCTTTACGCTAATTTCGGGTCAGGTAAGTCTTGTTATATAACATAAAAATCATTGATATAGAAGTAAGTTAATTTGGTTTCAGGATTTTACCGAAGTTAAAACGAGAGTCTTTGCATTGTCCTATTATTGCATGATTTCCACCAGTGTCGACTCTGAATTAGTTGAGAAATCGATGGATGGTGAGTTCGTCGATGATCCGAAATTCTTGGACTACACATTCTGCATAGCCTCAGCATTGGATCTCATAGATGAAGATGGAAAGTTTGAAGAAAATAATTTCGTGACGCTTATTCTGGACAATTATAAGACGATGATGAATAAATGCGTTGAAGATGGGAAGAAGGAGACAAGCAGCGAGAAGCGATCTTTTGAGTTTATCAAATGTTTGTCGAAAAATTTAAATGAGACTGACAGCACTGATGATAATTAATACGATGAGTTTCAATTTTGAATTACAACAATTATAAATAAATTAAAGTAATTTTTGTATTTTTCTTTCAAATATTTTTCATTATATTAATAACTAATGCGATTTATAACTAATGAAACAAAATCAACAACAATCAAAATTCACCCCAAAGAAAGGAACCTGTCCTCCAGTTACTTTTTTTATGTCGTGTAATTTTATTCACAATCTGTTCATCAATGTGAACATTCAGTAAATTTAAAATCGCGGTCACGGTTGTTAATAAAAAATTTAATACAAAAAAAAACAAGAATATTAAAAATTAAATGTGCTCCAAATGCTTTTTTTTCGAATAAATGTGCAATCAACGCGTTAATTAAATTCCTCAAGTATGTAATTATGTTTAATAAATAAAAAAATAAATAACCGACCTATACTATCAATATTACAAATTAATTTGAAGTGATATACTAAAATTAGAAAACACTACAGGAGATGATGCATTTAAATTCATTAATTGAATACTGGATTAAACGGATTTATTACCAGATGAGGATACGTTCTTCCGTAAAGAAGCTGAAAGTAATAAAATACAGGTTTTTCTTCCTTTTTCAAGATCATATACGTTTTCAATGTCATTTAAGCACCTTTTCAATTATTTAGTTCCTAACACATTTTCTTTGCCTTCGTTGCTAACATTTTTTTTAAATTTTAAACTAACCATGATTTTTTGCATTTAATTAATATCTACCATCATCTTTATAGATATTTCCGAAATCTGTTCAATCAGTATAACTTATTATAACTTAATTTATAATTATTTGGATGTTATTTCCTACTTATAGTATAACTTCTTACCAAAAACTGTCTCAACGTTTTCAATTGCGTTTCTCCAAAAAGTTTTGATGTCATTTCTCCTTAATCATATTAAAAAATAAATTCTTTATATCGAAGCTTCGTCAACAGAGGTAATGAGGTATAACTGAGTTAAAATAAAATTTAAATTTAAAAAAATATACAATATTTCGTATCGTTATTTAAAGATAATAATGACGTCATATAAACGGAATGTAGTGATCACCACATTTGTAAACATAAAACTGTTATCAAATTATGTATTTTAATGAGAGAAGATTTCCTAATACGTTTTATCAAAATAATCGTTGCATATTTAAAATCTCTCTCTATATGTAAGAGCACTACCTCTGATAATTGTACGCAATTAAAAAATTTAAGCAAAAAGATGAGGATCATTTTTGCGGTTAAAGGTTTAGCAGTAACTCTGATTTCGGCTGAAGTAAGTGTTTTGTATTATGTTCATTTTGGTACCTTTTTGATATATTTTCAATTTAGCATCGGGCCTGAAGCGAGTTGAATTTGAAGTTGGCCAACTACACCCATAATTGCAAAGAATTGAGCCAAGTCGATCCGGATTTGATCACAAAAGCCCAGAAAGGTGAATTCGTCGAGGATCCAAAATACATGCAGTTCTCCTTCTGCATGACCAGGAGTTGGAACATATTAGATGCTAAAGGAGAAGAATTTGCTGACCAATCTGATTGATAATGCTTACTTGGCCCTGAAGAGGTGCAAAGCTGAGGGCGAAAAAGAAATGGAAAATGGGAAAAGATCTTTCATCTATTTGAGATGTTTGCACGATAGTGTTCTGGAGGACGTCAATTTTACGAAGAATGCTTTTGATTAATGTACGTGCTGTAATTAGGCAATGATAAAATGTACTTTCCTTAGTTTATAAATATTTTATACTATTGTATAATTAATTACAGCCAAACACTTATATGTACAAATATAATAAAATACAACTTTTTTTTCACAAATCTTCAGCTTTCATTTCCATGTTTAATAAACTTTCTACGATTTATACTTTTTGAGTAATTTACAAAAATATAATTTTTCGTTGTTTCAATTTTGTTAGCAAATTACAGTTACAACCTTATATATTCAGCTTTCATTTCTATTTTGAATCATCTTTCTACCATTTATACTTTATGAGTAATTTTGTATATTACATTTAGTTTGGAATTTGGGTAGCACATGTTTTATGCATTTTGACGTATTTTCGCACTTTGATGAAGCAT